CCTCCCCACACACCCCGCCCATGACTCCTGCATGCTCTCTGCAGCAAAAAAGCAAACAACTGGTGAAACCAAAAGTGAAACTGAAACTGTCTGCTGAACTCCTAATACTACTTGTCATTCAGTGAAGCCCTTTTCAGATTCAAAATACCTTTGGGGAAATTTATTTTCAGATGCTGAGTAAACTGTATCATAGCCCCCCCACGCTGAAATGGGCGGGACAGAAGCGGAAGGTGGTTCTTAACGAGATAGAGGCCAACTTCAAGGCATTTAGAAGAGGAAGTGATGAGAAGATAAGTTTATTTTCTATCTAAACATAAAAACAGAATTTTAGCAACACCTAAAGGTGACATGGATCCTTTATTAAGGTATAGTATTTAAAAGTATGCATGAGAAACACATAATATTGCCCCTTTAGTAAAATACTTACGTTTGACATACAGGTGCCCCATGACTTCAGCATTGCCGTAACTGTTCCAGACTTCACAAACGTACGTTCCCGAGTCGCTGGGCTGCGCGTTCTCTATCAGCAACCCTGAGATGGTCTGGCGAAAGCGACTGTCTGGCTCCAGTGGGCTGTTGTCCTTCAGCCAGCGGTATTTGGGTGGCGGGTAACCCGAGGCCTTGCAKGGCAGCTCCACTCGACGATTTATCATCACCTCTCTGCGGTCAAAGCCATCCAAGATGGCTGGCTCAGCGTTGGTGGGGTCTGGACAGAGCAGAGAATGCAGCGTTAATTAGAGGTGGGTGAAGCCTGGAGCCTGACGGTCTGATGCAAGACTGATTGTTGGGGGTCAATATTTACCTCCATAAACTGCATATTTTATGTGGCCAAGAGGAGAGAAACCTTCATTTAATACCAGAGACGTGTCTTTTTTTCATCATTTCTTCACTGCATGAGAAAGTAAAGCCCTGGCATTGTTTGAAGGAATTCATATCACCCACCGCCTTTCATGCAAAACAATCTTTTTATATTCATTTTGGTCAAACCTTGAAAATAACATTATGAACAGCTCTCTTAATTTTTACATTTGGAGTATTTGTTGTGATTGACTTTTGGCTAGTACATCAGATGTGGCAGCCATCTTGTTTTTGGCTGAGTCCAACAATGTATCTAATTTAGAAATATTTTAGAATAAATTATCATTTAAATCTGTTAGATGTTGGAGAGGGGGTGTGGATCATTCTCAACTACAACCAAATTGAAGTTTAGCTTAGTATCCATASAGTTATCCAAGTTAAATACATTTTATGTTTAATAAGGTTTATGTGGTAGACATTTTTCTGCAGATTATAATCTAAATCTCTTGTAGATGTACAAGTACACTTGGTGGTGGGTAATAATGACCTTATTTTACACATCTGCTCATCAGAAAGTAGGCCACACAAGTCAGACATGTTGATTTATAAGTGGTGAAAGTAACAAAGCAGTACTGACCTGACACAATGAGACGCGCACTGTTACTCTGGCGTGTCTCACCGGTGTAGCGATGGCGTGTTGTGCAGCGGTAGTTATTGAGGCCATCCTCAGGCAGGACGTCCAAAATATACAAGTCTCCCGTAGATGTGATCAGATATCTTTGACCTGGAGCAGATAAAGAAGAGCAAAGATAGACATGGTGTCAAAACAACATTTTAAAATATATRAAATTTGTTTATTCTTACCTACATGAAACATTTCTCTATGTAATTATGAACAAATCTCACTGAAATCCAAGTTATAACAAAAAATGTGTTTACTTGAAAACCAAAAAAATGTATTCTCAAAGACTTTCATGGCTAACTGTAATGACACTTGGTTTCTTGCCCACTGCTATTGCCATAAATTAAATCCATTTTTGCCCTGTTTTAATTTATTTATTTATAACGCAGTAGAGGCGRCGAGTTGTGATTGACAGCTGAAGCTATTTCTCCGCCTTGATTACTCTTCACTTCTCCTCCTCCTCGTGCACAGGAGGCAGAAGGAGGCGTTATGTATTGGTTGCAAGCTGCGGCCACTAAATACRTTTTGTTGAATTTTTATTTTCTTCATTTGACTTTTTGTAATTTGACCCTGTCAAATGTGGGACATTGTATGTGTGCRTTTGCTGGGCCTTGTGTTGGGCCAGGTGCACAGTTTTTGCGYACCATGCGAATCACGCTCGTGCAGAATTGTGTTGGCCACCTTGCTGTTTTTGTGTGCCTCATGCACGAGGCACGTTGGGGTTGTGGTCAGYTGCATACGCTCYGATAAAATCATGCAGTTGTCCCGYGTGTAACATCTTTCTGTGTAAATACCTCATGTTACATTATGGACACTTTTGGTTTTTAGACAAGTGTGGCCTATATCTGTACAACTTTTTTATATTTTTCAAATTTAGTGGGTTATACATACAGGTGCACTCAAATGTCCAGAAATGTTGGTACTACTTTCTAAAAGTTTCACCGAAATCCATCCAGAGTTTAATGAAATATGTTAACAAGATGGACAAACAAAAAAATGACAAAGCCAAAAGACATTATCTCTTTTTGGATGATAATAAACATCCACAAACAGCTAAATCATGCTACGGTGTTGGTAATAAATCTGAAAACCTTTTCCATCTCTGATCCTTAACAGCATCTCYGGTCGTTCTGTTCATGCACCACGGCACAACCTCACTGGTGCTGGCATTTGACACAGAAAACCAATTGCTCTTTGGCTGTCACAGCCAGTTCTTTAAGTGCAGTAACATTATGTTAATTCCACAGATCAAACCAGGCTGAGTGGGGTTGTCAACATCCATAAAGACATAAACCTTCCTCTCTCCCATCAAATGGATTCCCACAGTCCCATGGGAGCAGACTGATGTCAGGACTGATTGGAAAAGCAATTTACACACAAGACTGTCAACTCTTTGTAAAGGTGGGCATGCTAAGACAGAAACTGGGAAGAAGGAATTAAGACCAGAGAAAGAACAGTTTTAGGAATTTTTATAGAATCAAAAAAAACAAACAAACAAATAAAACAGAGTTTAACATCTCAGGTTTAAAAAGATAAAAGAACCTCTGCTCAATTTAGGGCTTGACTTGTTTTAAAAAGGTAATCTACTTGGTCACCAAAAAGGAAAGAAAAACATTTTATCAAAGAGTTTTCATYATTAAATTGGGGAGTATGAAAATTAAACAAATAAAGAAACCATTATACTTATCTGTTACTGAGCCACCTGTGTGCTGCCTGCCAATGGAACTGATACGGGGATGTTTATTATTTATCTTGCTTTATTTTAAACTGAACTTAACATAAAGAAAATGTTTACAATATTATCTGAACCATGTTTGGATTAGATTTTTATTAATACTGCATTTTGCGAGTGTAATACCGCCTTAAAAAGCAGAACCGATTTTGTAAATTTACGAATTCTGCATGTGCAAATACATAGATGTATTTTTATAAGGAATGGTTTGATATTTTATTCTTTCTGTGCTTTAATTTTTTAATATATTGTAACTTTGTTGGACAAAAACACAGCATGTTTGAAATGTAAAGACTGCAGATAGTAAAATAAAAATTCTTAGTGCATACTCACACCTGCCCGAAGATTAAAAGTGAAACAAACAAAATCTTGTGCATTTCACAGCGACTCTGATCAAGGTTGCAGAGTGTGCATTTTTGACAGCTTCTAAAAAAAGTCTCTGCACTTGGCTTTGATTGCAGTCCGTTTAAGAGGGCAGTCACATCAGCAATTTATCATAAAAAGCGGAAAGCTGGATTGCATTGGAGCAGATTAGTCATGAATAATGAGGTGGAACAAGAAGAGATTTGTTAACATATATTGTCCTAAATCTATATAAGGCAACAGGATAACAAAGATAAAATAAAAAAAAACACAAGAGAATTTCATTATTTCTATTCATGCTTTTGTTTCAAACAATGGTCCAAACAAACACAAAGGTGTAGCTGTGGGATTTTCCTCTCAGTGTGGGTTACCAAATAGGCTGCAGCCTCCTTGAGGTCGTAAAACACCATCCCCAGAAGATTAGAAAGAAACAAAAACTATTAAATTCTACAGATATTAACTACTAACACTATTACTGCAGTCTCTCTCCTATAGGTTCCATGTCCTATAGTTCTGGGCCGTGGTTCTGTGCTGAGTTACAGGACAGAAAAAAATTAACTATGACACACCACGGACCAATTTGCTCAGGGTAAAAAATAAATAAATAAATAAAAAGGCTAAACTAAATGCAAAATGAAAATCCGCACTAACATTAACATCAAACTATGATAWTAATATTCCACCGGAGACTAATATGTATAAAAGAAGCAAATCGGGCTTAATAAAATGCATTTTATGTGCATGTTTAATGTTTAGACAGGCAAAGCAAAATCAACCTTGTGGGGGTTCAGCAAACAGGAGGAGGGACTGGAGGCGGGGTGGGGGGTGGGGGGGTATACATATTGAGGCGGGAGAAGCGAAACAAAACTGCTCAGCTATTGTAAGCATTGACCTAGATAGAACCGACAACACATTCCACGGATTTGATGTCCTAAAGGGGTTTCACGGGTTTACATACAGGGCTGTTAGATGGGCAACCAGCAAGTGAGGAGCAGAAAGGAGGGTGTGACGATGTGTGTGTGTGTGTGTGTGTGTGTGTGTGTGTGTGTGTGTGTGTGTGTGTGTG